GTAATTGAAAGGAAAAACATATAATCTATATTCAATACTAATAATCAATCAAATAAATACAATTCGTTAAATATAAGTCAAATTGGATATAATCAGCTTAGACACATTCTATATACACAATTTGATAAGAGAAAATGTAAATTTAGGTTCTAATTAGCAGAAAATTTGATTGAAAGGTGAATATTTGTAGTAAATGTGAAAATTTATAGAAAAATTATGGACAAATTTTAAAAAATTAGAAGGTTTAAGGTTTTGGTAAAAGACATAAGGGAGAGTAGAAAAAATTCAAATTTATTGTGATTTTTCTCTTGTTTGGTGGGAATTAAAAAAAGATTTTTTTAGCAAATTTTGATAAAAGTTAAAAAATTATGGATTCCATAAAATATATTATTAAAATTGGGTTAATTTTACAAATGGTCACTGAAGTTACAGCAAAATAACAAAATGCTCACTGAAGTTTGAAAGTTGCATAAACGGTCACTCAACTTACACTCACTCTCAAAAATGGTCACTGATCAAAATTAAGGAATTTCTTTGTTCTAATTGAAACCTGAGTTAACAAACAAGTCCCCTTCAAAATTGGAGGGGCTGAAGTGGAAAAATCAACCAATACCGGCACAACTTCCCTCTGTCACCGCCGACTTCCACCTCCAAAAAACCACCAATCCGCCCCCTAGACCGTCGAGTATCACCACCACCGGTATCGGCCTCACCCGCCCAACAAATCCCAACCACAATCCCAACCTCACGCCGCCCCCAAATGCACCCCCATAGCCACAAAATCCTCACAGTTCGCAGCCAAAAAACTTGGCGACAACCACTATTCCGACCACACCCATCACGCCCAACACATATCGACCTCTTCTACACTCCAAGGCGCATCCAACCATGGTTTCATATCATCAAATAGTGCAGCAATTCAAAATTTTCAGGCCCAAATTCCAGCCCCTCACGCAGGCGTATAAGTTCAGTGAATCCACCTCCAATTGACAGGCAAAGTAACGTTATTGCTACAAATTGGACCCAATAAAACCTTCAGCGGGTCAATACGATATTGGGTAACTCCTCAATT